TTTGTTCGATCACTCGACCTACTAACCCTAATTGCGATTCCACAACCAAGTACAACTCCAATCTCTTGGGACGATCCCTACTCGCCCTTGCTACTTTAGTAGTAGTGTTGGTAGTGGTTTTTATAAATTTAAACTTGACCCAAAAGGCTTTTCTTGAACCGCACATTCACTACATCAATTTGGCGTATATCAAGCGACCGTAATCGTCAAAATACATAAACAGGAAATTTGTATTAGAATTTTATATAAACTCTTTTTTAAAAAATATTTTGTTTTCTTTAAATATATCGTTGTCTAATTAGATTTCTTACATTAAAAAACTCATAATAAATAGATCAATACAGGTTATATATAATAGAGTTTTAAAGAAAATCAAATAGGTAATTTGTGGTAGAGTTTTATAGAAATTATTTTACTTTCTGAAATCTATTTATAGTAAATAAATAAATAGGTAATTCAGGTTAGAGTTTAATAGAATTTCTTTTAAAAACTCTTTTTATATCAATTAATAAATATTTTTTATATTAATAATTCTTGTCCAATTAAATTTTCTTTTATTAAAAAACTCATAATAAATAGATAAATATATAATTTGTGTTAGAGTTTTATAGAAACTCTTTTAAAACCTATTTTTATAACAATTAATAAATAACTTTCTATCTTAATAATAGTTGTCTAATTAGATTTCCTTTTAATAAAAAAACTCATAATAAATAGATAAATAGGTAATTTGTGTCAGAGTTCTAAAGAAACTCTTTAAATATATCTCTGTCTAATGTGATAGAGTTTTATCGAAAAAAAATATGTAATTTGTGATAGAGTTTTATAAAAATTATTTTATTTTCTTTAAATATTTCCTTGTCTAATTAGATTTAATTTTATTGAAAAAAATAAAAATAAAATATGTAATTTGTGATAAAATTTAATAGAAATTATTTTATTTTCTTTAAATATATCCTAATCTAATTAGATTTAATTTTATTAAGAAACTAATAATAAAGCTAATTTGCGGTAGAGTTTTAGAAATTTTTTTTATTTTATATATCAATAAATAAATATTTTTATATTACTAATTCTTGTCTAATTAGATTTTGTTTTATTTAAAAATTCATAATAATAAATAGATAAATAGGTTAATTTGAATTCTATTAGGTAGATTTTAGAGTTTTATAGGTTTTTTTTATATAATTTTTTTTTTCAAATCAATTAATAAATATTTATATATATATATATATATATATATATATAAATAAATTCTGAAATACTCAATCTCTTTGCACATTTAATAATAGTAGTGTGCAAAGCTTTTCTAATTCTAGGTCTATGCCCCTCTGAATTTCTCTCTGGAATTCTGGATTTCCAGAATTCTCAATTTTTGTACCCCTTCCTCCTTTTTGCATACCTCTATTTATAAACTTCTTAGATTAATAGGATGATGACATGTATCCTCTCCTGATAATGACATAATCATAGCTGGGCCAGGACGGCTATATTGTGATAATTATCCATAAAAATAACTATTCTTTTTATATCAATTAATAAATATTTTATTGTGATTTATTTTATTAGGTAATTTTTAGATAATAAAAGCTAATTTGTGGTAGAGTTTTAGAAAAACTATTTTATTTTTTATATCAATTAAAAAATATTTTTTATATTAATAATTCTAGTCTAATTAAATTTTCTTTTATTAAAAAACTTATAATAAATAAATAAATAGGTAATTTGTGTTAGAGTTTAATAGAAACTTTTTTAAAAACTCTTTTTTATCAATTAATAAATATTTTTTATATTAATAATTCTATCTAATTAGATTTCTTTTTATTAAAAAACTCATAATAAATAGATAAATAGGTAATTTGTGTTAGAGTTTTATAGAAACTTTTTAAAAACCTCTTTTTAAATCAATTAATAAATAATTTTTTATATTAATAATACTTGTCTAATTAGATTTTCTTTTATTAAAACACTTTTAATAAAATATATAAATAGGTAATATGTATTAGAATTTTATAGAAACTCTTTAAATATTATATCTTTGTTTACTGTGATAGAGTTTTATTGAAAATAAAATATGTAATTTGTGATACAGTTTTATAGAAATTATTTTATTTTCTTTAAATATATCATTGTCGAATTAGATTTAATTTTATTAAGAAACTCATAATAAAAGTTAATAGATGGTACAGTTTTAAAAAAATTATTTTATTTTATATATCAATTAATAAATATTTTTTATATTAATAATTCTTTTCTAATTAGATAGATAAATAGGTTAATTTAAATTTTATTATGTAGATTTTAGTGTTTTATAGAGTTTTTTTTTTAATAAATACTCTTTTATATCAATTAAAAATTATTTTTTTATATAAATAAATAAATACTAAAATACTGAAATTCTTTGCACATCTAATAATAGTTAGATAAAAACTCTTTCTATATCAATTAATAAATATTTTTTTATATAAATAAATAAATATTGAAACTCTTTGGCAGAGCTTTATATTTTACTCTGGAATTCTGGATTTTTAGAATTCTCAATTTTTATACCCCTTCCTCCATACCTCTATTTATAGGTTTTTTGGATTAATAAGATGATGACATGTGTTCTTTTTTTGATAATGACATAATCATAACTGGGCGGCCTGTTATATTATGATAATTATAGAATGTGATTGATTTTATTAGGTAATTTTTGGATTAATAAATAATTTTATTTTAATAATTCTTGTCTAATTAGATTTACTTTTATTAAAAAAACTCATAATAAATAGATAAATATGTAATTTGTGTTAGAATTTTATAGAAACTCTTTTAAAACCTCTTTTTATATCAATTAATAAATATTTTTTTATATTAATAATACTTGTTTAATTAGATTTAATTTTATTAAAAAAACTCATAATAAATAGATAAATAGGTAATTTGTGTTAGAGTTTTATAAAAACTCTTTAAATATTTCTTTGTCTAGTGTGATAGAGTTTTTTTGAAAACTAATTAGATTTACTTTTATTAAAAAAAAAACTCATAATAAATAGATAAATAGGTAATTTGTAGAAACTCTTTTAAATCCTCTTTTTATATTAATTAATAAATATTTTTTATATTAATAATACTTGTCTAATTTGATTTCCTTTTATTAAAAAACTCATAATAAATAGATAATATGTGTTAGAGTTTTATAGAAACTCTGTAAATATATCTTTGTCTAGTGTGATAGAATTTTATTAAAAATAAAATGGGTAATTTGTGATAGAGTTTTATATAAATTATTTTATTTTATTTAAATATATCCTTGTCTATTTAGATTTAATTTTATTAAGAAACTCATAATAAAAGCTAATTTGTGGTAGAGTTTTAGAAAAATTATTTTGTTTTATATATCAATTAATAAATATTTTTTATAGTAATAATTTTTGTCTAATTAGATTTTCTTTTATTAAAGAATTTCGTAATAATAAATAGATAAATAGGTTAATTTAAATTTTATTATTTAGATTTTAGTGTTTTAAATAATTTTTTATATAAATAAATAAATACTTAAATATTGGAACTCTTTGCACATCTAATAATTGTATAAATAAAAACTCTTTTTATATCAATTAATAAATATTTTTTTATATAAATAAATAAATACTGAAACTCTTTGGTAGAGTTTTTGCATTTTACTCTAGAATTCTGGATTTCTAAAATTCTCAATTTCTGTACCCTGTCCTCCTTCTTCCATGTCTTTATTTATAGGTTTCTTGAATTAATAAGATGATGACATGTGTCCTTTTTTGATGATAACATAATCATAACTGGGCCGGGCCGATTATATTGTGATAATTATTCATAAAAAATAACTATTCTTTTTATATTGAACTAAAAATAAGAATTTTATATATAATGTGATTGACTTTATTAGGTAACTTTTAGAGTTTTATAGAAATTATTTTACAAAAACTATTTTTACATCAATTAATAAATATTTTTTTATATAAATAAATAAATACTAAAATACTGAAACACTTTGTACATTTAATAATAGTATATATATATATATATATATATATATATATATATATATATATATATGTTTATTAAACCTACTTGAAAGGTTTTAACATCACTGGACAGTTTTTCCTTTTCAACACTTGGCTTTTGGAAAGAATGACTTCTTTTCTTCTTTATTTATATATATATTGCTTATTAGCAATGCCGATAATGACTTGACGTGGGGGGGAGGATTAAGGAAAGTTGACTCTTGTATTCCTTTCTTTTCCACTCTCTGTTTAGTTGATATTGAAAGTTGGCAATGAGACGTAACAATGAGTTGATTTTGCGCTAAACAAAATCAATGCAACATACTAAACTTTGGTGAATCTGTATCTTGTTCTCCAATATATTGGGCACAATTGCATCCATGGGCAGCTTGGCATGAAATAGCAATGGAAAGTTGACTATGCCAATTAGAGTGTGTTGGTTCACGACCAAGGAATCTACAAAGATTTGGCAAATTGGGTGAGGATTATTAACCTCCAAGGCATCAGACCAATAATCACATAACTTTGACCATTCAAATCTTTTTTTTTTTTTTTTTTTTTTCTTTTTACATGGGATGTTCAATTCTGTCTTCACTTTCCACTTCTTTTTTTTCTTTTTTCTTTTTTTGCTTATTATTGTTATTCTTTCTACCGGCAAAGGAAGATTTGATTCTTGCATCCCTCCTAGGCTTGAGAGAAATGTCGGTGCCACATCTTTTGCCAATGATTTCTTTCTTCAAACAGTTGTGCAGCCTCAAATTCCTAGCTTATTGATTTACATGAAAATTTATTTAAATATCCTTGAGCAAGTCATGCCTTTTATACTATTGGGAAACTTCCTTCTCAGCCCTACTTTCTTTTTTAAGGATTTGCATTACAAATCACCCTTGAATTTCAAAATTTTCTTTTTTGTCACATGGGTCATATGAGAGAAGAAAAAAAAGTCAGAATGCCATACAGAAGGAGGTTCCAAAAATGTTTGGCACGAAGGAAATTAGACTCGAACACGTATCTCTTGTGTTTCTCGGTGGTCTGAAATGGAAGGGATCATTCTTTGTGAAGCAATTTAAATTGCCAGAATATGAGTGCATTATCTTTGGTATAAGTCTCTAATCACATCCACTTTTACCATATATATTAGGACTTGCTTGGAAAAGAGTTTCTATTTGGTTTCCAGATGTTGATGATACCCTTTATCCCCCAAATTCTGGTTTATCTGAACAATGCACCAAGAACATTAAAGGTAATGCATAATTTGTTAGGTAATTCCTAATGTTTATGACAACTGATCAGTTTTAATTAAAATAAAATATACCTGAATCTTCTATTGATGCCATTATTTCAGAATATATGATCCAAAAGCTTGGGATGGAGGAGAGTCAAGTCCCTGAATTGTGTCATCAACTATATGGGGATTACGGAACAACAATGGCCGGTCTTAAGGCATTGTTCTATTTCTTCAAATTGTTCTGTAATTAGTAAAACAAGATCATCCTATTATACAAATCTAATAATTAAATTTTTTTTTTTTTTCCAGGCCATTGGCTATAACTTTGATGATGATGACTACCATAGGTACCGGTTTGCCCTGTGTCATGGACATGTGGTTTTGTGTGTTGCATGAATCGTTTTTTATCATCTCGGATTTTCCTTTTTTCAGATTTGTTCATGGGGGATTGCCCTATGAGTTCCTAAAACCTGATCCTGTTTTAAGGAGTCTTGTGCATAGCCTGCCCATCCGGAAAGTAGTAAGTTTCTCCCTTCACCAAAATATAGAGTTCGGATTCTCTGCAATACAACATGAGTGTTGTACTGCTTCTGATGGTCCACATCACTCACACGCGAGTGATGAGGACTGTCGGATGGTGTTGTACTTCTTCTCTTCAAAGAGGAAGTGAGGGTGTCTGAGTCCAAGCGCACAGCAAAATTGTGTGGGTGTGTGAATGGTTAACCTGTATAAAAGCTTCTTCCTTGTGTGACAATGTTTTGTTTTGTGAAACAAGGTGTTTTCAAATGCAGATAAAGCCCATGTTGCTAAAGTTCTTGGGAAGCTTGGATTAGAGGACTGCTTCGAGGGGGTTATATGCTTTGGGACTCTGAATACCACCACTCAGGGCCAGCCCTGGGGCCAGGCAACCATTGCGGTCGCCTAGGGCCTCCGATTTGGCCCAATTTTACTCAGGGTTCATGAAAAATAAAATTATAAGGCCCAAAATTTGAAAAGCCACACTTGATAGTAGTATGTAAAGTTAATGCGGCATTGTGACACTAGACTTTTTTGTTTTTTTTGGTCACGTGTGATACTAATTACTAATACCGAATTTAATACATATTAATTAAAAAAAATACAGTTATCAGATTATATAAATTTGACATATACTACTTTGTTATTTAATTAAATAAATAAATAATAATTAAACTAACAACCAAAGCAACAATTAATTGAATTAGCTTTTAAAAAAAAACAATTAATTGAATTAAATTTAAAAAAAGTAAAAAAAATAAAAAAGGAAAACTAATGGCATACCAAAAGTAGTCAACATTGTGGAGATTTCCAACACCATCGGAGTACAACCGTTGACCGCGTCAACCGGACACTCCATAAAGAAGAAGAAAGATGAAAAAATTATATACATTATGCCACACCATGATGCTTCTTTTTGTACTTTTTTGTTAAGTACTTATAATATATTTCATGAAATATTGTCAAATATATCTTTGAATATGATTAACAACAAACGGAATCTTATTGCATGAAGACAAATACAAAGTGGTATTGTCGAAACTAGAAAATCAAAGTCATGGTACACGTTCTTCATCTAATTATTCTTTTTTTTCTTCTTCTAACTTACTCAATTTGATTTATTTTTCTAATAATTTGAATATGTAGACTATTTATTGGTGGTGATAAATTTATTATTATTGGTTGGTTGTCATATGCAAACTGTACTGGCACACAATTATTTGTCAGTGGTGATAAATTTATAATTATTAGTTAGTTGACTTATGTACACTGCACATACGTACAATTATTTATTGATGATGAACACAATTATATTGTAGTGTGTTAAGTTTTGGTTGAATGTATTATTTATAGAAATTGAAAATATCCTATGAATATATTTTATGTACTCATCGTCTATAATTTTATTTTTTTTTTATTATTATTATTATTATTATTTTTTTTTTTTGTGCATGTGAAACTTTGTGTAAAGAGCCTCAAATGTGAGAATTCGCCTAGGGCCTCTCAAAATTTTGAGAGCCCCAGGGCCGGCCCGGCCACCACTAACAAAATGAATACTTCTGATATTGCTGGGTCAATAGGTTTGAGTTTAAGTGGCACAGAAACTTTCAAGTCTATTACCAATTCTTGCAAGCCTACTGATATTTCATTCTCGATTCTACGAGAATTTTTATGAAAGCCTTTCATTTGCTTCTCTTCGATGGAAGTTTAATTTTCCCATAATGTATCCTAATTTTTGGCCTAATTCTTCTTCTGATGATCAATTCAACCTCTTATCAAAAGGATATATTTCATCTCTTCAACAAGTTTAGTAATGAGCATAACGGCCCTATTGTTCCGATGGAGAGAAGAACCTATGATTAGCTTTTTGGGAAATTTCCAAACGAACATTTTCAACGAAATCTTTCAATTTATTATTTTACTATGTTCAACTCTATGTATTCCTCTATCCGTCGAGTACATTGAATGTACAGAAATGGCTATAAAAGAGTTTTTCTTAGAGGAATGTTTTTATGCGGTGCTAACAATTTAATAACTTTCTTTGTAGCCACAGAATGTTTCAGTTTATACTCCTACCTATTATCCGGATATACCAAAAAAGATGAGTCATTCGGTCGTAGATTTGGATTCCTATATATACTCCCTTTGTCCCAAAAAAGATGTCATGTTTTCCTTTTTGGTTTGTCCCAAAATAGTTATCCACTTTCCTTTTTCAAACAATATATTTTACATCTTTCCATATATGTTATTAGAGTTTAAAATTTCAAACTTGAATATAAGGACAAATTAGTAATTTTTCAAGAAGACAAGTTATGTCCCACGTGTTCCCTTAAAAATTCCTACTCTCCAAAAGCCACATCTAAATTGGGACAAATGGAGTATATAAGATCCATCTATATAGATATCATCATCTACATCCAGAAAGCTGTATGCCTCCAATTATTTGCAAACCGTTTGAGGATGCGCTTTCAAGATTGATTTTTTTTTTTTTTTTTTTTTTCATGTATATTTAGTTCTTTCATAATTTTATTCTAACAATGTAGCAACTTTTTTTTTCGCTTTGGCAGTTGTTCTTCGATGAGGGAAGCATTGCCGGAGCTCTGGGAGGCCATTAAAAAGTCAGAGGTCTGTTACTCTGAGAAAACTGCAATAGAGACACCAGTCAGAGCTTAGCTTTGTAATTTATGACGCCATTAATAATTTGTAATTTTGATTTTCACCTTCCCTATTTGTACTGTTTGTTTATTACTGGATGTAAGATTTCTTCATGTGACAGTGGTAAAAGTAATCTTCTTTTATTTTTAGCTCCAACAATTTTTTCTTCCTTTACATGCAACTGTCTCATTAATGCTTTGTGGTTGTGGAGTGGGTGATGAGCCCTTGAAATGCATGAAAGATGGATTCTAGTTATATATATATATATATATATATATATATATATATATATAGTGTCTGTGGGAGGAGAGGGTTGTAACGTGTGATATATTAAATGAATTAGTTAGGGAAGTATATGGGCACACTTCAATGTCTTGTGAACATTTGAGTCACAAAATTATATTTTACATAGCATATCAAATGACAAAAGACTTGAATCTGTTATTATCATTAATTAATTTGATCATAGTTGATTTAAACATTGAGAGATAAGCTTTATTCAATATTGATTAAGAGTTATTGTTGGATAGTCCAAGTGTACAACATAATCCACACCTGTACATCTTCCTATAAGTTCAATTTTCACTATGATGAAATTAAACGTGGAGACTCACCTATGAATTGTTGCATAAATGTTAAATAGTCATGCAAGTCTGATTAATGTTTTAGCTACATGTGTGTGTTTTTTTTAAATATTATTGGAAACTAGGGCAAGTGCAAGCAGATTCAAATTTTAGTAATCCAAAATTCGTGTTTGATCACGAGAATCAATCAATATATGCAGCAAGATTGATTTAATTTATTTCTTCCAAACCGGCTCTGCCGGGTTTCGTCATATTACATTTCAAAATGGTCATTGAAGATGCTTCGAACATCCTTGATGTGAGAGCCGAACATTAATTCAAAAGATTTCGCGAGATACTACTTTAAATAAAGAGGATATCACTTAAAAATGGGCAATACGTGTTCCTATAAATTTGCCAGTCGGTCATTGACTATATTGGAGAGATACTACTTTAAATAAAGACGATATTTTGGGTGTGCCCTGTAGCCTCTGCAGTGGGGGAGCTATGGTTCTCCAATAGATCAGTTTGTAATTCAAGGATTCAATATTGTAATTCAAGGATTCAATATCATTTAAGGTTCAATATCATTTACATACTTCAATAAATCGATTGGTTCAATCAATTTATATCGATATTTATCCGAATTCATCTACCTCAAATGCAAACCATATGACTCACCTCATCGTGTGGTGTGAATGCATACATCCATCTTTCCCTTTCCCTTCCCCTCTAACATCTAACTTTAAGGGTTTGTTTGGATACATAGGAGGAAAAAAAAAAAAAAAATGATAATATTAGTTATGAAAAAAAAAAAAGAACCCTCACATGCACTGACATTCATAACCTCTCACCCATAGAACTTTCTCAAGATTCATCCTCTCCTGTTCTTCACGAGCTATGTAAGTGTCAAACATGTCAAACCATGCTGAATAGTGAAAGAGTGCCTCCCGGAACCAAGTGACAAAGAAGGGAGCACTGTACGATCCATTAATAACAGAATGGACACAAATGTCCGGATTCATCTTCCTGATTAACTTCAGAACAGCATCCCTTGGACTGTTGTCCACAACAGTCTCATCGAGTAGATTCTTAAACCGAAATACACAATTCACAGCAAGCACCTAATCCCTGTTAATCTTGAGGTCCCCAATTTCTATAGTTTCCCATTTCTGTGCTGCTATGGCATTGTACTCAAAACGGAATATTAAAGCGCTCACAGTACTTCGCCAACCGACGCCGTGTCTCCTCAACAAATTCGGCTGGCCGGAAACCAGGTTGGGGGAACTCTATCCCAGTAATTCGAAGCTTGGGAGGTCCATTAGGTATTGAAGCAAGATGTTGGATAAAGATAGGCCACTGGAAACCGTATAGGATACCAAAATCAATAATATGGAGGACCCTATTTGTAGCTTTCATGGCTTGTTTGAAAATCATTTTGTTTGCAAAGAAAATTGCAACCTTCTTGAATGGACAGGCTGAAAGCAAAAGCTGGTAAGCTATCAACTTCTCGACAGCTGATATTCTCCTGGAAGCTAGGACTTTATAAATCTGAGATCCAGTGCCGGCCAAATGTGCCTCAAGACCATTGGCAAAGACATAGGCCAACCTGTGTGTTTCATCACCAGTGGGAGAAGAGTGTTGTCTGATCTGCTTGAGTTGTTCATTTGCCGTCCTGAGGTCATCAGCAGCAACTGATTGTGCAGAGTTGATCAAAAGTGCCGACTGCTTGCTGCTCCTCTCTTCTTCTAGATCATTGTCCTCCCGGAGATGGTGCTTCCTTCCTTGAGCCATTAGGTGAGTACTCCCTCTCGTCCTTCTCTACTTTGACCACAGATTCTGGAGCCTCTTCTGTTGACTTTGGAGGTACTGTGTAATTCTCCAAATCAATAATCAAATGATTTTCAGGAGGAACTTACTAGCCTCCTCCATTCCTCTCTGGAATTGCAAGATGGATTCGCTATCACTAAACACATTCAAAATCAGATGGGTATTCAGAGAAGAGTCTATTGGCCCATTAACGTCGTTAGTAAGGCCGTTTAAAGAGCCAAATGACCACTGCAAAGCCTGCAAAGTGGACTGGAAAGAGTATTCCGAGGAATGACTTTGTATCACTGATGGTGTAAACTCAACACGATCAACAATCCATTGAGTATCAATGTAGTTCCCAGCACTAGTAGTGCTGTTAGTGCTATTCTCACTGGAACTTCCAAAAAAATTACCATCTGGACTTTCGATGTTCTGATTGAAGTAAAGAGGGGCTTGCTCGGGAATCTGTAGTGCTTTTATCAATTGGCATGGCAGGAGGAGAAGGTGCTGAATCATGATCGCTTTCAATAAAGTTCCCAAAATTTGCTACTGGAGGATCCAATGGGGCATCATAATTCCCCTCTTTAACCACACTACCAACTACATTGGGGGCAGGTGGGTACCTGCTAAGAGAGCATTGCATTATTAGCTAAAAGCAACTGACTTAAATCATCTCTCCTTAGATCTGCTTACAAGTATAATTGTAAAAAGTAAACATGTTTCCTCAACCTACCATAACATTGCAACAACAAAATAAGTCTGTCAAATATGACATCGGAGAAATTCTAAAGAAATAGGTCACCGTACATATGGTTTACCTTGTCAGTGACTGAGGGGCATCACAATGGGGGAGAAAGGAGAGATCATTGGGACATAAAGGTGTAGAGTTTGAGAAGGATTAGGTTCCAGCGTAAAACCCAGAGCATCCAGTTTGTTATCATGAGATATTCCAGTCTGCTGTAAGAGTTTTGTTATCATCTCTAATCTTCTTCCCCGGAAGAAGCACACCAACACGTAGTCCACCACCAAGAATAGCAGTCACTGCCTCCATAACTGTCCTCTGCACAACATTCACATCCCATCAGCTCGTAATTTTAAATTCAAGCAGCAAATCTGTAAGCCTAAAAGGAAACTGAAAAGAGAGGAAGAATTAAGAGAGATTGAAGCAAAATGTTAAAAACATTAAGATCCCATTGCTGCAAAATTTTCAGCCCACAAAAGTGTGTTGTGTTAAATTTTGAAAAATGAAAAAACCATCAGAGTACCCAGGACTTGTCAAAGATATAAGTCATGTATTTAATCAAATGCACCCACACATTCTCTCCCAAAACCCGTCCACGCTCCACCCACGGTGTTCATTATTCAACTTTTAGAATACAAAATGAGAGCTGCGTAAGAACACATGAATTTAGCCATAAAGAATGTAAGTTCTACCTGAACACATAAACATAAAATCTATGAAATGAGGGAAATGCATGATCAGCATGACATACCTCATAATCCTAGAACTTATCACATCTACTGTAATGTTTTTCCCCCCTGACATGTCGCATCTACTACAATGCATGGCAAAAGGTAGCTGCAAGATGCTTGTATTAGAATGAACTGGGTCATGCTTACCTTCAGAGAACCCACAGTTGCAGTTTCTGGAATCTCAATGAAAAGCTCTGGAACCTTGAAAGACTTGATCCTAAGCTTCACTGAGCAAAAGCACAGATATCTTCATATAAGAACCCCTTTGAATGTCAGACACCAATCAAATCAAAAGAGTACACATGAATAATTCCATCAAAGGTACTTATACCATGGGAATCCTTGGACTGAAAGGATGTATGTTGACTTGCTGCAGAAGCTGGCGTCCCAGTGGCTGCATCAGGAGCTACGATTATAAGCAAAATAATAGAGAAAACAATAAACTGTAAACCAAACAGAGGAGTTAATAGTGGGGTGGGGGGTGATGAAGAAGAGTTAGCAAAAGTATTAACAGAAGAAGAAGAGAAAGGGGGATGGAAACTAACCTCCATTCATCGTTGCACCTGAATCAGAAGCATCTCCACTGAAGCCCTTCCCATGTAAACTAGATATTGCCTCACTACTAATCCCTCCATCAGAATTTGATACTGAACTACACTCATAAAGTTTCCTCTTTTTGAAAGGATAATCCCTTTGAGACCTTAGGCGTTCGTAACAATTTCTCTGGACAATCTGAAGTTGTTACTACAGATGCAAGTCCCAAACAAGTATCACGCTGAGCATTTGGAGATTCCTTGAAGCTATGATTAAGAACAGGATCCTGTGGGACAAGTTCTGAAGCAATAGAACTCCTGTCAAAGCTTCCTGGATCACAAGGTTCTACTTTCAAAGGGTTAACCACTTTCTGTTGTTCTTTCTTTACAAAATCTTTCGCAGCTGCACAGTGTTTTTTTCCAGGTAATGTATTACTAGAACTAGGAGAACTTTCTCCTTCCAGTAATAAATTGCCAGCTACAGTAGCCAATAAGTCAAATGCACACATTGGATTGTCATCAACTTTCTTCCTGAATGAGCACCTCCTCTACAAGAAGTGACAAAGGGATTAAAATGCAGATCAGTGCTTCAGAAACACAGACCACCAGATAAAACAAATAAAGGAATAATGAGTAGTCCGGGTAAGGCACCCTAGCCGATCTGGCAGCTCGGGGTGTGGGAGGCACCTGATAGCCATTGAATCCGTGGTCTAACCTCTTCTGCAGCAGCAG